CCGTCATTGTCGTCGCCTGCTGTCGTCTCCTGTCGCCTTCCGCCGTCTCCCGTCGCCTTCCGCCGTCTCCCGTCACCTGTCTCCCTTCGCTGTTGCCGTCACCCGACTCCGCCGCTCGGAGCCCATCTCCCTTCGCTGTTGCAGCCTCTCCGTGTGCGCGTCGTTCGTGGTGCCTGGAGCATCTAACGACCCTCCGAGCTCCGGGTGTTGCTCCATCCTTCAAGGTGTCGACCGCGACTACCTCTGCAGCACCATTGACATCATCCAGCGCCTTCCCGCCACCTGTAAGCTCCCCCATGTTACTTGCAGTAAGATCTTTTGCCCCGCCCTTTTCTTACTTTTGGTTTCTTTCTATGGTTGGATGATTTTTATTCTTGATGCATTGTTACATGCGCTAATTAAGGATGGAATGAACCAACACCCGGGGAATAAAAATGTCATTTTTCCTCTTTTTCCCCGTTCCTTGCTTCTTTCTGAATGTTGTTAGGCCTCTAGTTGAAGTTTGAGTATGAAGTGAATAAAAGCTTAACCTTGACATTGCTCTTTTTTCTGAAATCTCGCTGTCACTGCTGCTTGAAATGTAAGCTTAAGGCCTTTGGTTTTGTCTGGGAACTAACTAAGAAGATAAAATAACATTTCAGAGTGGTAAGAAGGATGCTAACGGCCTGTTCGGCAAACTCCCAAAATGGAAAGTCAGTTGCTGAAGGTATATTTTCCATAAGTGTAATGTTCATTGAACTTGTATATTCAGTCTATTGTTCTTTTGATCCGCTTATATTTTGATTTCAGATTATCAACGTGATTCTCAAGCTGTATTCCCCGGATGCTATATGACAAATGTGATATGCAAATTTTTTGTGTGTATAAATATATGTTTGGAAATTGATTTGTAAAATATTATTCTCGGTTTGTTACATTGAAAGTATTGCTCTCAGTTTGTTACATTGAAAGTAGATAATGAAAGTTATTCTCATTTTGTGTTATGTGCTGGTTGATGATTGTTGCTATTATGAATGTTATGTTCTCCATAGGGTAACTGTATAGCATGCTATTATGTGCTAGTTGATGATGGTTGAAATATTTTAATTCTAAGGCTCGTGTTTTTATCTTGTAAGCTGAAAGCTCAAAGGTTTGTAAGCTACATTTCAGGTTATAGCATGAAACCCGTAAGTATAGCACGTTATCCTGTAAGTATAGTACGTTATCCTGTAAGTATAGCGCATTATCCTATAAATATAGCACATTATCTTATAAGTATAACATAAAACTCTGTAAGTATAGCATGTTATCCTGTACGTATAATACATTATACTGTAATTATAATATGAATTCATAAAAATTATTAAAATTTGTTACTTTTGATAAAATGTTAGTTAAATGAGGTTTTGTAATTAACCACCCATTAATTTCACATTATTATTTCACATGATTATTTCACACTAATTTTCTCATTATTATTCATGAATTCATAAAAATTAGTTAAATTTGTTATAATTGATGAAGTTTTAGTTAAATTTGATTTTAGTATAGAATGATAACCTGTAAAGTATAACATGAAATACATTACTTGTAAGTATAGCACGTTATCCTGTAAGTATAGCGCATTATCTTGTATGTATAGCACGTTATCATGTAAGTATAACACATTATTTTGTAAGTATAGCACATTATACATAAGTATAGCACGTTATATTGTAAGTATAGTATGAATTCATAAAATTATTAAAATTTGTTACTTTTGATAAATGTTAGTTAAATGAGGTTTTGTAATTAACCACCCAGAATCGCTCTCTTATTCGCCGAAAATCCTCAGATACTCATTTTATGGCTCATTTTTTTTGTTTATTGTGTTTGTCAATGTTCAATTTGATTGTAGAGTTTTCTCGAGCTAGTGTTTGAAAATTGATGGGTTTATAAGAGAGAGTACAAGAATATATTAATAGAGTGAGAGAAAGGGAGGGGGGAGAGAAGGAGAGAGAGG